AGCAGGGTGGGTGCAAGGTCAGCAAGGTGTCTTCCACAAGGATTCGCGTTTATGCCAAGTAGTAAATAAGAGTTACAACCCAGTTTCATTAAGCCTAGGGGTGAAAAGCTTCCCAAGGGCATTTTTCATTCTCTTTATCATGGGTGTCCCTTGTAAGCCTTCTCTAGAGCACTTGTCAGAGGGAAGAGGAAGTGTGTTAGAGTTCACCAGAAGCTTCACAGCTACAGAATTAAAATCTTTATTTTAAATAAATTCCACCAAAAAACCCAATGGTCAGTCAAAATTCAAGATCTAGGCTAGCTCAGAATCCTCCGCACTCCTTATGACACCATTTATATACCACAATCTCATCTTCCTGGAGATTTTAATCTCCTGTAATGCCACAGTATTGTCCTAATGCTCCTTCAGTATTTTGATAGTGCTTCTCACTACACAGGGACCCTTTTCTCCCTTCCAAAGGCCTATGGTGGTTCTGCAGTCTCCACCTTTAGGCCTTGACTCAACCTGTTTGGTTTTAATCAACAGTCTTCACATCTGTGAGTCACACCCAGATCGCAACTTCTGTCACGGACTTGATTTGCAATCCTATTAAATGTGACATGGCCAAAAAAAACCAAAACAGTCTTACCTTTTGTCATACTACCAATTCATCATGTCCTCCTACTCCCTTCAGTCTGTCTATAGAGTTATTTTGGACACCACTCCTTCCCCGAGCACATACTTCGTCTCCAAATTTGCCACTGCACCCTCTATATCTCCCAAATCCAGTAATATTTTTCTGATTGTCACTAATAATATGCATTCTCTCTCAGCAGCACTTGTTACACCCTTCTTTTCACTATCGCTTCAATCAAGTCGCTTCCATCCACACCTTTTTCCAGTCCCGTCATTTTGAGCGTATGACTTTTCTCCTACATTCTTCTACAGCCTCCATCTCTTTCCATTTCATCATGTTTGAGAAACCTGCTGTCCTACAGACTTCACACCTCCCTACTTTGCTGGCCCCTTTATCTTACTTCTTCCATGGCATCCTCAGTCACTTCACCCTGTAAGAAACACTTGGTATCAACACTATTTTTCTCCCCGGCCCTTTAAACTTCCTTTTATAATATCCCCCTTTTATGGGGCATTGTAACTAGACATTTAACCCTCTACCTTATCTTTGATCTCTTGGAAAGGTCCTCTGGATAACACTATAATACAATTATTAATAATAAGGAATTTGGAATTCAAAAAGTCTTGCCAGCATTTAAGGACTGCCAAGGTAATCACCTGAGAAGGGAGAGGTACACAAATTAGGGACTGAAGCCAGTGCACCTGATGGCCATGAAACAAAATAAAATGGACACACAGCTAAACCATGACTGTTTATTTTCCAAAAGATTAACAAAAACTGCAGGGCTGCCCATTCTTCTCATCTTTTGCAATGACTAAACCTAAAAGAAAACCCACTTTTAAAGAAAAAAAATACATTAAGACAGTATCAAAAATTTACAGAGGGGAAAATAGAGAGTCTTAAGACACTTAGCATACGATCCACCATGCAAAATATTTTTAACAGGTTCCTAAAAAGCAGCTGAAACTCCTAAATTAGATCGGGGCAGAAAAACTGCCACATTCTCCTCACTATTTCTGCTGTTTTTCATGACCTCCTCGCAAAGTCCAGGTGATGCTTAGAAAATTATTCCACCAAGATTCCACTCACTAATACACAGTAAAAGGACAGTCCTAGATATTCAGAGTAAGGTTTGAGACTTTGGATCCAAAGCATTAGTGAAAGTGTTTGGTTGTTATTTTCTGGATGAAGTTAACCAAAGCTTTACCTCCAGAACAAGACAAAATCAAGATACTTAACACTCTTTTGCAACATAATCCCAAACTACTATAGAATGTATTGGTACTGGTAAAAGTAATAACAGTAATAGCATTCAGCAGTGTACAGGCTACTTCCCAGGCAAATAAGCTAGTAAGTCTCTGCTCCAAGGTGTTATGAACAAGATCAGATATACCAGTGACCACTGTCAATAAGAGGCATGAGAAGGTAAATAAATGGTAACAGAGAGTTAACAGAGAAACCTGTTTGAGACACTCTTCCTATTACTAGCTACAGTACATTGCTGGCATATGAAGATAGGCTGAGAAAGTTGGGGCTGTTCAGCCTGGAGAAGAGAAGACTGCGTGGAGACCTCAGAGCAGCCTTCCAGTATCTGAAGGGGGCCTATAAGGATGCTGGGGAGAGACTCCTCCTTAGGGACTGTAGTGGTAGGACAAGGGGTAATGGCTTTAAACTTAAACAGGGGAAGTTTAGATTAGATATAAGGAAGAAGTTCTTTACAGTGAGGGTGGTGAGGCACTGGAATGGGTTGCCCAAGGAAGCTGTGAATGCTCCATCCCTGGCGGTGTTCAAGGCCAGGCTGGACAGAGCCTTGGGTGACCTGGTTTAGTGCGAGGTGTCCCTGCTCATGGCAGGGGGTTGGAACTGGATGATCTTAAGGTCCTTTCCAATCCTAACTATTCTATGATTCTATGATTATTCTAATGGTTCCAAACTCATAATACCAAAATTTAGGGTTGAGAAGGGAGGAGTAAGGATTCTCAACCTCAGCATCTCACAGTACATCTTTTACTCACATTGTAATCAGCTTTGCAACACTTCTACCAGAGACCTATGAATTAAAAACATAAATAAGAAACCTACAAGAACATGAGTCTCACCCACATTATGTGGTCAAAATCCCAGCCTCTCTGTGTTTGCTCCTGGGGACTCCAGCACCTTTGGCAAAAACAAACTGTATCCCAATACCTGGGTTTCTCACTGCTACTTTCATCACTTCGCTCTGAATTATGTTTCTCTCTCTGTTCCAGCATCCATGCCCACGTGCAATTTGAGCACCATGTGGAGTCTGAGCCTGAACCCAACCTGCTGGCAGGGCCTTACTCAGATTTCTGGTTGTGTTACAGCCTCTCCTACTCTTGGATCCACATGGTAGAGGCTCCATGCATCATCCAGCAAGCAGCTGTATCTACCACATTGCTTTCTATACTGCCCCGTGTTCATGCTCGTTATAAGAGCCCTTCTCCCACCATATGACCCCTGTCCCATCCATGCCTTACCCATCACACATCCCCACAGCACTGCTAAAGAGAGAATGGCAGGTTGTCAGTTGACAAGAACTAAATTTGGGAACTGAAATGTATCCTGCAAGCTGCTCAGTCCATTTGTGATAAAGTTTTCCAGGTAAAGGTGCTAGTACAGCTGTACTCGCATGTCTGTCCAACCACCAATACCTTTTTTAACAGTACATTAATATTGCTACTGGAGAAGCGTCCTCTAGTTTCTTGAACAAAATAAGCTGACAAGACAAACAAACAAACAAACAAACAAAAACTGTCCGTGCAAAGATGTCTGAACCTGGACTTTGATAAGAGCATACGTGCACACGTGTGCACATATAAGATCACTCCCCTGCCATTACTATAAACACTTTTGACGCAAGGATGCAGATGAGAACTTTCAAGCTTGCATCTTAGCAATGTCCTCAAAAAAACTAGACACTTGTTTAAATAAAGGGACTGATTTAACATCACTTCAAGTGGCTTCAAACATTTGGAGACTGCTGCTATGGTTCTCTCCTGGTTAACAGAATTTATATCTGGAATATTTAAGTCCTTGCTATGTGGCAAAGAACTAATACACTGCAGTGCAAATACAACAGTCCTCCTGCAACACCACAGGTATTTTCCTCAAGCGCTCACCGTTAAAATTAAAGAAAACTTTTAACAGAAGTAGGAGCACTGATCTGTTTATGACATGAAGCTTTCGGCAAAGACACTTGTTCAGAGCTTTACAACCACTAATAAACCAACTGAACTAGAAATTGCATTTTACTGCTCTGACTCATTGTTCTTTTACAATAGTCAAAATAAATACACAATTATTAGCTTAAAAATACCCCAGTGTTCATAAGTAATTTCATAAGTGCTATGTTCTGCATCCATGCTGACTTGGACAATACACACAATTTACACATCTAACAACAAAAGGATTAATAGTGTGGCCATCTTGAACAAGAATACTTTATTACTACATCCCTCCTGCTAATATTCATAGTTTATATCCCCTTGCCAGGGCTTCTTGGGCTAAGGAAAACATTTGTTACCAGAAAGAAGCAATGTGAGTAAAACTTGATTTTTAGGAGCCTCTTGAAGACAGAGAGATGGGGAGGCTGACATTTTCAAAACTAAGAACTGAAAAGTGACTCAGCCATCGGAAGTAGTAATCTTCCCCGGCTTTGAAAGTGGAAAATGACAAAAGAACGTGACTTGCAATAAAAATTACTAACTTGGCAGCACAACAGTAGAAACACAGAAACTGCCTCAGGTCTGCAGCAATTCTCCTTCTCCCATCAAAGGCAGTGTGTAGCCTGAAGTCACACAGCTGAAACTGTACACCTTTCATAGCTGCTATTTGTCCAGACTTTTAGAATTGAAATACAGCCATCACAGTTGTTACAATTTAAATGTGTATTTGCCCTAAATGCAGTAAAATTATAAAAAACCAAAACACCCTGGAAACTTTGATGATGCACAATGAAAGCAACTCTCATTATCTGTTAGTGCTTCAAGCACTATTTTGTTATTATTCACATACCACCACCCATACAAAAGCATCCACATAGGTTCATACTAAAGCTTCACCTCAAACCAATGCCTCTTTTTCAACAGTAGCTCATAAA